TGAAGGGGTTAATTACAAGGGAACCTTTTGCTGCCGGGCTGCTTCAGTATCCATATGCGACTGTAGGCTTGCACCTCTTCCCTGAACCCTCGCAGGCGCTTCAAGGGAACCTAAATCCTAAAAAAGGGAATAAGGGCCAAGTAGCCCAGTAACCCATATTGCCATAAGCAGCTATAAGCAGCCTTTTTTGGGTTGGTTTCATTCTCTTAAGCACCACAGAACCAAAGAAGGGTAAAGGGATACCACTGGGCTACCAAGGATGAGCATACACCCTATAAACCCTATAAACCCTAGAACCCCTATAACCCCTAAACCCTATCCACCCCTATCCACCCTATCCACCCTATAAACCCTATAACCCCTAAACCCTAAACCCTAAACCCTAAACCCTAAACCCTAAACCCTAAACCCTACCCCGGGGCGGGCGCTGGCCTTGAGCAGCTCGTCGTTTGGGGCCTTCGGCACCGCCAGGGCCACTTGCGCCTTGAAAAGGATGCTATCTAGGGGCCTGAATAGGGCTTAGGGTTTAGGGTTTAGGGTTGAGGGTTGAGGGTTTAGGGTTTAGGGAACAAACAGCAGAAGGTAAAAACGGATCACCTGCTCACTCGCGCGTTCGTTCATCCGAGTAAACCCGTGCACTCGTTTCGTTGACCCTTTTAGCACGCAGAAGCTTTAGGGCATTATTCCGCAGCCTTGACCCCACAACCTCAAACCCTATGCCCGCATCTGGATATTCGTGCGGAACGGAAGCTTTTCAAATCGACGGAGAGGTGGTGGGGTGCCCTAGCATTGAGAGAGGCACGCCTTTCTCTTCTCTTCTTTATTTTGCATTAACGGTGTTTACAATGGAACCCAAGCCGCCCAAAAGGGCACAAGGGCAGTACTGGGCATCTGGTATCTATGGGGTCGGGAATCCATCCTGAGTTCTTAGGGTTTAGGGTTTGGGGTTTAGGGTCACCCACGGAGTTGGGAAAATCACCCCGATTTCGAGGCCAAAAACGAAGACCAAACTTCGACCTACTCGGATGCCTCCACCTGCAAATCCGTTCGTTTCATAAACTCGCGGCCGAGACTAGGTTGCCCAGTAAGCTAGGAAAAAAAGGGGGCACGCTTTTTTTGCTTAAGGGGTTCATGAGGGAACCTGAACCTTGGGATGTTCCCCCTTGTGCCGACAGACTTTCTAGGGATGATAATTGGAGGTAGAATCCCTATTACGGACTGTTAGCATAAGGAGGAACATCCCAACCTAACCCCCCCCCCCCCCCCCCCCCACCGAAAAAACAAAAAAGGGCACTACTGGGCGTCCTAAGAAGTTATTCGGCCGCGGACATAAGAAAGCACGTCGTCCGAGCTCTCAGGTTTCAAATTGTCCCTCTTGGCTACATGGAGGAGCTCATGAGGAGTTCTCTAAGTAAACCCTAAACCCTTTGGAGGGTCTTTTGTCCTCATGTCTTTGTCTGGCTAGCCAACCCTAAACCCTAAACACTAAGGTCATCAAAGGCTGCATGGAACCTTTTGAAAGTTTAAGACGGTCGGCACCAAAGCCTAATGGGCTGCGCTTGGCATCCTAGATCATATAAAGGTGGAGGGCTTTAGGGTTTTAGGGTTTTTGAGTTTAGGGTTTGGGGCTTTGGGAGTTTAGGGTTTCGGGTTGAGGGGCTTCGACTCTCACAGTCACAACTGACGCACGTGCAGGCAAGGTTTCCAGTGCCAGGTAACTCCCTTGGGGACGAAATGAACCCTAAAAGGGTTTATGGTTCATATACCTTAATAGGAATTACAGTAGTCAGGGAATATGACCCCAATTTTGGGGTTCATTTCGTCCCCAAGCTCAGGAGCTGGGCAAACACATTAGTCCCTCTATTGGCAAAGACTTGCACCCCCACAAACCAGACCAGGGTAAGACGAGATCCTTGAGGCAGGCTGAGGCTTGAGGGTTTGAGGGTTTGAGGGTTTGAGGGTTTGAGGCTTTTAGGGTTTTAGGGTTTAGGGTTTAGGGTTAAGGGTTAAGGCCTGTGCAACCAGTTGTGTATCCGTCATGTCTCAATCGTGCCACCCTAGATGGGCAGACTCATGTTCATGAATTCGGCCGCGATTCTATCGACCCTTTTCGAGAAACCTTATGGCGAGATCATCAGATCGCAACCTAAACCCTAAACCCGAAAACCCTAAACCCTCAACTCTAAACCCCATAACCCTAAACCCTAAACCCCAAACCACCTTGTGGGACTTTGTTTTTGACGCAGGTCTGCGGCTTCAAGGGCCCCCAAACCCGAGACCCTCTAAAAAGGCTTCATCCGCTTGCGGGAGCAAGGGTTTAGGGTTTAGGGTTTAGGGTTTAGGGTTTAGGGTTTAGGTTTTTTTTTTTTGCCACCCGCCTAGCTGACCCCATCCAGGATCACTCCGCAGGGAACAAGGGTTTAGGGTTGAAAAGTTTAGGGTTTAGGGTTTAGGGCACCTGGCCTGAACTCCGGTAGGTTGTAGTTTTGGCCCTGACTGCGGCTTCGAGGTCTCAACTGCCTGGAAGGGGTCTCCGGTTTCGGGCTTGGGGTTTGGGACTTTGGGGGTGGTCGCAAATAACATGGGCTCAGGTGGAAAGGCGGTTGTACTGGAAGTATCGCGTGGGAGCAGGTGGGAGTGGCTGAAACCCTACAAACCCTGAACCCTAAACCCTGAACCCTAAACCCTAAACCATGCATTCAGGGCTTGCCGGGTTGGCTTCTGCTCCTCGAAATGTGCCATGGTTGCGACAAAACTAGGCCTGCTGGCAGATAATTACTGCAGATATCCGAGGTTTTCCGAAAACAGCGGTACCCTCGCCGAAGGGGTTCCTACAATGAGGATTATCGTGTTGGGGGGCCACATTAGGGAATGGTGTTTCCAGGATCCCTAAACCCTAAACCCTAAACCCTAAACCCTAAACCCTAAACCCTAAACCCTAAACCCTAAACCCTAAACCCTAGACCCTACACTCTAATCCCGAAACCCTAAGGGCCTAAACCCGGATGTCCCAGGGAGAATGCTTGGGAGGCGCACTGGACCGGTCTGTAGGCTCAAGTATATGGGGTTTAGGGTTTAGGGTTATGATCCAAACATGAACTTAGCATTGCAGTACAGTCTCAAATGCCCTTGAATGCTGTCCTGATCAGTCAGGAGGATGAGCGAGGACGCAGCTTGATGGGAATCCTGCCGCTGTTTAGGAGAGAATTCCCTAAACCCTAAACCCTAAACCCTAAACCCTCAACCGAATTCACTAAGGTTGGGGAGAAATACCCTGAACTGACAACCACCTCCGCCTGACTGGCGTCGGACTGGCTTAAGCGTGGATCTTGCTAAGGAGACTGAAAGTTCAGCTACCGGCATACGGGTACGATCGGGGGATTTCCGACAATAGGGGTACCCCGTATATACCCCACAAAGTGAGTACCCCCCATTTTCGGAAACCCCATGTTACACGCCATAATACTCTACTAGGGCTACCAGTTTTAACTTTCCCAACAAGAACACCCAAGAGTAGGTAAAGAGCAAAGCGACGTTTCAGAATTTGCCGTTCGCTGTGTCAGCACGGAAAACAGAACCCTGGCGGCCACTTGTCATTTCTCCTCGCCCAGTACCCTAGGATTAACAAGGGTGCCAGCTTAAAGGGGTTGATAAGGAACCTAAACCCCCCCTCCCCCCCCCAAACAGGGAATAAGCGCACCACTAGGTCTCACAGACTTAGGGCCACCTGCCACATCAATTTCAATCCTAACTCCAGTTCGTAAGCTCTGACAAGCGATTGACCTTGTGATGAGGTGGCTCGTTGGAAAATTGGACACTTGACTATACCAAACCATGCGATGCTTTACTCGCCTGGGCCTTTTAAACCCTCTGAACAAATTCCTCAATCTGATCCTAAACCCCATAGGGAATATGTACCACCTTGCAAACTATGCTTCTAGTGCGCGCCGCCTGGATGTCGGAAGGCTCTGCCGATCCGAGCCCCGCGACAAGCTCAGGCCGAATACCGCAGCAGCGCTGCGCGAGGAAGAGCAGCGCCACCGACCACCGTGGATGCATATGGAAGCATTGGGCAAAGCTGCGAGGTTTGAGGATTCATGTGGCCACTCGGCGCCACTTGAGCCGAAGGCCCTGAGTGACCACACGATGACAGATGCAGCAAGCAGTAGAACTTGGGATGTTCCCCATTCTACTAACAGTCCTTAATAGGGATTCGCGATAATCTCTATTAAGGACTGTTAGTATACGGGGGAACATCCCAAAGCAGTCAGGTCCCAAAATTGGGGGGGTAGCTCTTTTACACCCCACCCCCAAATGGGTACCCGTATGTTCGAAAACCCCCCTAAACCCTAAACCCCAAACCCCAAGCCCGAAACAACATCCCTGGCAAAAACTCTTGAGATCTATGCACGCTGACTGTCTGTGGATGGCCTTCAAGGAGTGAAGACACCTCGAAAACATCGAGCATGGTATGGGGCTCGTTAAGGGGGTATAAGGAGGGAGCCCCCTAGAAGGGGCGCTTAATCTCCTTCCAACTTCTTTTCCTATATAACCCCTATACATATCAATATATATATATATACTTACTTTATAGTATGAGGCTCCTTCCTTTAGTCCCCTGATCTCCAAGGGTTTCTGGTGCAGCTACAGGAAGGGACATTGCTCTCGAAGCTTTGTTGCTGTATGTGCTCGCGAGCGGTCTCCCTTTTGAACCCCGACTCTTTGCATCAGCTGGCAGGATGACCTTTGCGAACGGTCACCCTTTCCAAACCCTAAACCCTAAACCCTAAACCCTAAGCCCTAAACCCTAAACCCTAAACCCTAAACCCTAAACCCTAAACCCTAAACCCTAAACCCTAAACCCCAAGCCCTAAACCCTAAACCCTCTTCCCTCTTCTGCTTCAGACCCTAAAACCTGAACCCTAAGCCCGAAGCCCTAAAGTGGGTCCTTGCTTGAATCAAGAGCGCTTCCAAAAGGCCTCCGTACTGCAATACATGCAAGACGGCGATACAGCATTCCACGGCAGAGCATACTTAGGGTTTAGGGTTTAGGGTTTAGGGTTTAGGGCTTGGGGTTTAGGACTCTAAGCAATGTTGTTTAACAGGGTTCCTGGGCCAGCAACAAGGGGAAGCCCACCGTGAAACAGGATAGAAGGCCCCTAAGCCCTACCTGGTCTCTCCCCAGCTGTGAATACTGCCGCCAACTCTGGCAAAAAAGGCCGCGGTTTATGGTTTAGGGTTTAGGGTGTAGGGTTTAGGGGTCTTGCAAACCACAAGTCAGTGTAGGATATCGGTATAGTGTGAGTTCAGGGTTTGCGGACCCGTCTACCTCAACGGTCAGCTGGTGCGCCTTGGGTCGTCGAGATCTGCCCTCGTTGCGCCCAGTGGGCCATGGCGCAAGGGGGTTCCCGACCAGAACATCGAGCCTTATATAATGGTACAGGATCTCTGCTCCAAGCACGAAAACCTGTTGTTGCTCCAGCTTCTGCGGCGGAATGACCAAAGCACATAGACACCAAAAGAATATCATGAGCCTGAGCGATCCGTCTCGCACTATGAAGGAGCAGGACCTGAGCGAGGAATCGCTCCATGAAGGCGACATTGATGAAGTAAGCTTGTTGTGACGGTTGCCCTGGGGCTTTGTGGCCGTAATGCTGCCCTGGACAGCTGACAACAAAAGAACCATGGCCAGTCCTTCTTGCACTGTGATTACTTTTGCTATTGGGTTAGACTTGGGGTGGGGGTTTTCCCATGTTTAGGGTTTCGACTCTCACACTCGCACAAGGCCGGCAAGGCATCGGTTGGTAAGTCTGACTCTGGGTTTAGGGTTTAGGGTTTAAAGGTGTACCTTTGCTGCGAGCTCCTGCAACTAAGGGTCAGAGTATGGTTATACCTCGGGGATCAAACGAGCTCTAAAAGGGTTTGTGGTTCATATTGCCTGAATAGGGATTCTAGAAGGAAAGGGTATATGACCACAATTTTAGGATTCACGTAGTCTTCAAGGTAGGAGGGGTGCCTCCTATTCCAGGAAATGCCGACTTTTGCTGGTTTGGGTTCTCAAGGTTGTTTGCGTAACAGCGGTCTGAACCCCTTTCCCTAAACCCGAACCCTAAACCCTAGACCCTAAGCCCTAAACCTAACCCTACAAGCTACCGATTCCCATCCCCCGAAAGCCTGAGCATCTTCACCCCTGGCTCCTCTTGTCTGTTTCGAATGGAACGCGGGCACTTTCCAGGGTGAAACGCCCTATAAACCCTAAACCCTAAACCCTAAACAGTCCTTTCTGAAACCCTAAACTTTCCTAAACCCTAAACCCTAAAACCTAAACCCTAAACCCTAAGTGCTTTTAAAGTCTCGCTCTCAAGGTCACGGAGCCCTGAACTGTGGAAAGCCTGGGCGCGGCTCAGGATGCTTCTTCTTCTTCTTCTTCTTCCTGTTCTTGTTCAGGATTCAGGGTGCAGGGTGTAGGGTTCAGGGTTTAGGGCTCAGGGTAGGGGCACAAAACCCACAGATTCCGAAAGTCTTGCTGAATTCTTCACCAGGACAGCCCTTAGCCAAGTCTCCCTCCTCGAGAGTAAGCATGCGATTGCCCTAAACCCTAAACCCTAAACCCTAAACCCTAAACCCTAAATCCTAAATCCTAAACCCTAAACCCTAAACAGACTGAGGCTTGGGCGCAGAAGCACTAGCGGGCTTCGGTGAACCGGAACCGTGCCTGCGGAATTTCTAAGGGTAGCTCTATGGGCCCCTAGTATGGTCCCTTACCTCCTTTAAAGGGTTCTGATGTATGGGTGCTTAGTTTGTGTAGGGTATATGAGGGGTATGTAAGGGGCCCGTTTTACTAAGGGACCATGTAACCATGCAAGGAGAATTGAAGCCGAAATTGTCCTAGGACCCATTCAGGGCTAAAGCTGATGATGGCTCCTGTCGAGGCACAGAGCTTGTCTGGGGCTGTACAGCAGATGGGTTTAGCAGGGTTTCCTATTAATTAGTTCCTGTAGGAATTAATTTATGTTGCATTTTTCTCTAGAAGGGAGCATTGAATCATGAATGAGTCATCAAGGTTTGTTCTGGTTCTAAGGGAATTATTGTACCCCAAGGGTCTCATGTGCCTGACGATAATATACTTGGGCCCCAAAGTCTCTCAAAAAGGAGGAATTTATCAGGCCCAAGCATCCATAGGGTTTAGGGTTTAGGGTTTAGGGTTTAGGGTTTAGGGTGTAGGGTTTAGGGATAGTTTAGGGAAGAGCATGCCTCTGAAGTTTCACTGGGCTTGGTATGTTGGCACCACACATCCTTCAACCCGTGCTTGTTTACCCAAACGTCCTTCTTCTGTGGGTTTAGGGTTTAGGGTTTAGGGCCCTTGGGAGCCCTGTAGAAAAGGCAAAGCCATCTACGGCATGTTCAATTTCTAGTGCATGCGGCCAATTCAGCTCCACCTGACTTATTTTAGAAAGGTTGCATCTATGTCCACATGCAATCTCAAGCCACATCCTGCTACATCCATGCCATACAGTCCAATCCTGAGCATGGGCGTCACATCCACATGCGAACCACGATGAAAACGCACGATATGGAATCCATCAGCTTCCCTATTCCCTAGGCCCTAAACCTTAAACCCTTGGAACTAGAAACAGGAATCCAGATTTCGCAAAGATTCGTGAACCTGTGGCCCAGTCAAGAGCGTGTGAGAGAATTCCTAAGAGCCCGACAGCGCCCTAACCCTAAACCCTAAACCCTAAACCCTAAACCCTAAACCCTAAACCCTACACCCTAAACCCTAAACCCTAAACCCTAAACCCTAACCGAGTGCGCCTCAATCACACGCGTCGTGGCGCCGTCAGGTTCGAAGACGACTTCCTGAAGGCTTCACGTCGATGGGCGATTTCGGGGTGGCCACGCAAGGGTCGGTTTAGGGTTGAGGGTTCTAGGTTGTCCCGTAACCTCTGAGAACTACGCTTCAACAAGGTTTTCTTCTGAACCCCTTTAAAGAAAGTACAGAACACCCCAGGGCCCAACCTAGGACCCAGGTGACCTATGAATTTTGGCCCAACGCTATCCCTGGCTGAGATTCACATCTTTTGGCATGTTTGGCACTGCGCAGGGCGAAAAAGGACAAGATCCCCCCCCCCCCGCCCTCCCCACCCAAAGGAAGCGAAGTCCAAACAGGCCAAGCCCGACAATTTCTTGCACTTCGGGAAACAGGAGGCCAAGATTTAAGGATTGCCACTGGGGAAGCGCCCAACAAGACCAGAAGGCACCCTGCCTACCACCTTCGTACCATCTGCCTGATATCCTCCTGTCTCAAGCATCATGATTTACAAGTTCAGGGAGCGTAGGAAACCTCTAAACCCTAAACCCTAAATCCCAAAATCGTAGAGCCTTACGCCCAGGCCGGCACGAGACCTTCTACCCATGCGCTTCGTAGGAATGAAGGCTGCTTCAGGTACGTATGTATGCGAACTCTACATCTAGCATCCCACACCCACATCACATCCACCCAGACTTAACCCCAAACCCCAAACCCTAAGCCCTAAACCCCAAACCCTAAAAACCCCAAACCCTAAGCCCTAAACCCCAAACCCTAAACCCCAAACCCCGAAGCAGCTTAGCAGTGGGCGCGGCCGGCTTGCCCAGCGTAGAGGCTGGGAGCGGAAGGGCAGGGATCGGTGGGCTAGTTGGACTCAGGCTTTCGGGCGCAGTAGGGTTTAGGGTTTAGGGTTTAGGGTTTAATTATGGGGTTTAGGGTTTAGGGTTTATGGGGCTTAGGGTAACCTAAGCAGAGAAGGGCTGACGGATTTTTAGGCCTGGGAGGGGGAGGGCCTCAAAGACAATGGCTCTGCTGGAAGGCAGCAGATAGGATCCCTCTTTGGGGTTTATAGGTTAGGGTTTCGGGTTTAGGGTTTAGGGTTGGGATGTTACCCCTTATACTAACAGTCCTTAATAGGGATAATGCTAGAGGGGAGGTGCTATAATCCTTATTAAGGACTGTTAGTCTAAGGGGTAACATCCCAAGGTGAGGGATTTAAGCCGTGAGCCGAAGATTGCACTTCTTACTTTACAGGGGCTCGTGCTGCGACCGTGCGAGCGCGGAGCAAGAGGTTTGGGGATCAGAGCAACCTCTGCGGGCTTAGCCTTTCAAGAGCAACTTCAGCCCACCATAGTACACAAGGGTACGCACCCCGGCCTTGGGGAGATTGTAGCATGTAGGGGTTTAGGGTTTAGGTTTTTTTTTTGCCACCCGCTTAGCTGACCTCTCGGACACTCTGCAGGAATTGGCGGTTAAGTACGGGGTGTCAAAAAACGGGCTTTGGTCTAGGCTGAGCTGAAGCCACGCCACCAAACCCTTTTAGGTTTTAGGGTTTGGGGTTTAGGGTGCAAGGTGTCCCAGTACGCGCCGCCTGAGCGACGGCTCTGCTGGAACTGCAGCTGCTCTCGGTTGCCTTGGCTCAGGGTTTAGGGTTTAGGGTTTAGGGCTTAGGGTATAGGGTTTAGGGTTTATGGTTTAGGGTGTCGGGTGTTGATGCATGGGCTTCATAAGCGATGGGGCTTTAGGCTTGGGATTATGTGGCCAAAACCCTAAACCGCATGAACCAGATATACACTTTTCACCCTATATACCCTATAAACCCCATAAACCCAATGAGCCCAATAAACCCTAGAACCCCAACCCTATAAGCCCTATAATCCCGACAAAGACTCTATAAACCGTCTAAACCCAACCACCCAACCACATAAACCCTCTAAACCCAACCGCTCTTTTGAAGCATGGACTGAGGTCGGCGCCAGCAAACCCAACCGCCCTAAACCCACGAACTCTATAAACCCTGTAAGCCTAAACCCTAAACCCTAAACCCTAAACCCTAAACCCTAAACCCTGTAAGCCCTCAACCCTTTTTAACCCAGGACTGCTGAGGCTCCCGCAGTCCCAAACCCTAAACCCTAAACCCTACTGTAAACCCTAAACCCCTAACCCCTAACTAACCCCTAAACCCCCTCACCCCTGAACCGTAAACCCTAAACCCCTAAACCCTAAACCCTTAAACCCCTAAACCCCTAAGCCCCTAAGCCCATAAGCCCCTAAACCCCCAAGCCCCTAAACCCTAAACCCCAATATGCAGGATCTGCACATCTTGGGCGTTGGCTCTGGAATGGTGATGCTTCCCGTTGCCGCGCGCCAAAACAGCCTCGGGAGTTAACCAATACCCGAACGAATACTATCCGGGTTTAGGACAGGGATTCGGGTTTAGGGTTCAGGGTTGGGGTTTTAGGGTTTAGGGTTGGAAACTTGTAAGCCCCATAGCCCAATCCACCTCCGCACCACCCCCCAGAATACTACTATAATCAAAACCTAGGAGGGAAAATTCCCGAATCATGCATGCTCTTCCTGAAATCAGGTTTGAAATTCCCTAAGCCCTAAACCCGAAACCCTAAACCCCCATTGAGGTGGCCGCAACACAAGTACTTCCGGCAGCAGGTGGGGCAGCTGAACCAGCGGCGACTTCGCCTAGGGGTCCATCGCACATAGGGGTTTACAGTGAACCCAGGAAGTTGGAACAGTCTTATCCCCATACCCCAAAAGGTATATTAAAGGGAATCCCAGCTCTAATCATCCTTAAACCATGTTCCAAGGTTCTGGAGTTTAGTGTAAGAGTTTAGGGTTTGGGGCTCCCATATCCCGCCAATACACACCCCAAGAATGTGAGAATTCGGATTACATGTAGGCCGAAACCCTAAACCCCAAAAGCCGAGAGCCCAAAACCACCTGCCCCGTTTTGTAAAGCTGAGGCGCTCGCCTCCTTGAGCTTGAGGTTTGGGGCTTGGGCTCTCAAAGGGGTAGGGGTTGGGTTTAGGGTTTAGGGTTTAGGGCTTAGGGTTGAGGGTTGAGGGTGGAGGGTCGAGGGTCTAGGGTTTAGGGTTTAGGGAGGGTTTAAGGCTTAAGCTTAGGTCTGGGGGTCTGGTCCAGGGTTTCGGGCTGAGGCATGTGGGAGCACGGCGCTTGAAAGGAATTTCCAGGTCAACAACATTGTCGTTCTTCAGGTTCGTGCTGGTGGGGTCCATAGATCCGGCACTGCTGGAAGCCCTAACGTCTACCCTCAACCCCCAAAACGGCTTAGGTCTACATGCCCATCAGTGCACATTTAGGGATGCACCTGGTGGCACACGTGCGCTTTTTCCGATCCGATTCGCATGCTGCCGCGGCTGCACAGGCCTGGCAAGCTTGGAACGCCAGTTGTATGCACAGGGTTTAGGGTTCAGGTTTCAGGGCTTAGGCCTTTTCCCTGCAAGCTTCTACTGTACCCTAAACCCGCAAAATCTGCAAACCCTCAAACCCTCACCGCCCTTACCCCCTCAAACCCTCAAACCCTCAAACCCTCAATCCCTCAATCCCTCAAACCCTAAGCCCTCTTTATCAAAGTGGCGGAGGCTCGGAGCCCTGACGCCCTTCTATAGAGTCCTTATACGGGAGGGGAAGGGGTTCATGAAGGTACTTCGGGGACCTTAAGGAAGCTGGGGGGGCCTAGTAAGGGCGTAGTGAGTCTTAAGAAACCTTGCCCCAGCCCTAAACCCTTTTTTGAATCTTAGGGTTTAGGGTTTAGGGCTACACACTTTCAATCAACTTCCCAGCTGGGAGCCTGAAGACTCACCCTTTTTGTGCATCGTTTGGCGACGGCTGTCAGCAGGCTGCTTCGTGTGCACTTTGCCATAGCTGCGCCCCAGATAGTGCTCATGGTCTTCATTATTCCTCAGCACCTGCTCTCGGTACGTATCGCCAGACCTCCGTTCTCTAAGCCACAGAGATCCTAAAGGCTAAACCCTAAACCCTGAACCCTGAACCCTAAGCCACCCTAAACCCTAAACCCTGCTCAAAGATCGAATGAATCTCAGAGGTCAAGCACTTTTAACTCTCTCTCTCGCTAACGAAGTTTGATGGCCTGCCAAGCTGCGGTCCATCGGGCATCTTGCCCCTTCTGACGCATGCATACCGAGTCGGATGGTTTTGGGGTGATTGTGCTTCGCACTAATCAGGTTGCCCAGCTGCCATCATCTTCGGATCTCTTGAATTTCATATGGCTGTGGCATCAGCAAATTGCCACTCATTGCTGCAGTGATCAGCTCACGGCTGCAACTGCCTTTGGTCAAAGCATCTGCTAGCATGGATCTCGTGTCAATCCAGTATAGCACCCAGAGACGCTGTGATACCAGCAGTGCTCGCAGCCAGCATACGTGAAGCAGCAAAGAAGGTTCAGCTGGGACCTTTATGTTTGGCGCAGTCACAGCTGCGCTGACTGATCGGGCATCCACTCCCAAGCCAAGCACAGTCGAACAAGGAAGGGTACCTTCAATCATGGCCTTGGCGTCATTTGGAGTCAGCACTCCACTGTTGAGCTCGTGAAGAGCTACTGTCTGCAGCAGTCCCGAGTCTGTCGCATCGGTGGCTGCAAACAGCTCTGAAGAGAAAGTTGACCGTGTGACATGTCTCTGCGCTTTACTTACGTAGTCTAACACATGACATGGGGTCTGAGCTAACCCTTCGCTTAGAGCTTTAGAACTCACCCTTATGCTGACTAAACCACGCACGGAAAGCCCATCTTCCGCCTTGGCACGGTAACTTGAATCGGAGATCTGCATCAGCATATCTGGATACTCCTCCATCACGGGGAAGACTAGCTTGCGAGGATTGGCTTGCATCCATTTGAGGAGTACATTTAGGCGCTTCGCGTGGATGACTTTTGCTTGATGTGACTCACGTTGAAGGGCAGTGACAAAAACGGCTATGTCCGGTCTGGTGAGCAACGAGTACGCAATTGTCATCAACAAGCTGAGGAAATGTCTGCGGGCAGCTTCGGGCAGAAGCGTGTTTGGATCACCTGTGATGGCCTGAGGCGCGGTGATCTGCTTGCACGCTGACAAGAACTTGATCTGGTCAAGCTCCACACTGCCGTCAGCTTGCTGCGTGTGCTGCACACCGCAAAATGTGAAGGAATGCCATTCTATTTCCATTTTTCCGAAAACAGCGGTCAAGTGTGCAACAAACTCTTCAATCAGCTTTCGGGGGCCGATCATCTTTAGGTCATCAACATGCTTGATGATTGCCATTACTAGATCCCCATTCTTATGGAGCATCTCCAGCTCTGGGTCAATGCTTGAGCTACGCAACCCAAAAGCCTGCGTCACCTGTCTCAGCTTCAGACTGAAACACCTAGGTGCATCGCGGCATCCTGTCCCAGGCTTAAGGCAGTGTAGAACTTCTGTACGCGGGTTGAACCCCTTGAACTCTGGCAATGTTTGAAGACAAGACAATCCCTCGCCTGTTAGCTCGAAACTCACATCCCTCATTGGTGCGTCTGTTGTGGATGCAAGTTCTTCATATGACACGCCTTGAAGGAAGGCCTTTGGCACATCTGAAGAAGCTAACACCCAACCTCTTAAGACACACTCACTTACAAGGAGCTTTTGACTGAACCTCGAGGCAGTCGAGGCAAAGTTCGTCTGGTCATCTGCCCCAGTCTCCTTGAAACCTCGAAGGCACAGACGAGCACGAATGATACGCTTGCCTTGAACGTACTTCCACTTGTAGACCCATTTCGCATCGATGATGCATGGTGCATCCTTGCGAGCTCGCCTACGGAAGCACTTGAATCCTTGCCATGTCTTGAGCTCATTCATGACAGCTTGTGTCACTTCAGCTGCATTCTGTTGAACCTCTTCCGGTGTGAGGAGGTCATCCGTTCTATCGATTACAGCCTTTCTCGTGTGAGCTTCATACATGCGAATCTCAACATGTTCATTTTCAGACGGCATTCTGCTCAACCCTTCTACGCACTTACAGTAATCCCCATACACTTCCAACGCTACATATGCCCCTAGTTCATCAGCATCCAACAGCGGAACCTCAAGCTCATTGTGGCACGCAGCAACATATGCCTCGATCTGATGATCTGTGGCCCAGGGACACTGCGCAGGAGGCTCAACCTCATGCCAGTTGGATGCTGAGCTCATCACATGGTGTTTCACACACTGCGTGCTGCAAATCGGCAAGGTCAGTTGGATGATGCAGCGCAGGCGCGCATTCAGTCATGTGAGCAAGGTAGGCTTCGCTCAGCCACGGCTGCTGTTCCTTCGTGATGGAGTGCCCAAAAGTGGCACACAAGGCTTCCCACGTGACTAGTGAGGCTGTAGTTGAGCTTTCGTCTTCTTCAGGAACAGTGGAGAGTCGAGGTTGACTTTCACTGCTCGTTTCAACACGTGAGGCGGTCACGGGCTCAAAGGCGCTGTCATCAACCTGCGCAGGTACTGCCCAACGTGCGCTTGTTGCCCACCCTTCGTCGTCAGGGATGCCTAGAAACTGCATGGCATGACTGTTCGCCCATCCCTGGCCCAGGATATCAACAAACGACACCCTGGCAGTGTCACTGTGCAGGAAGCTGATGTCCCTAGACCCCGGACTGGTCCACCACAAGGTTACTGAAGATGTGAACTCTTCACGCGCTGTCAAAGTTCTGACGGCGTGCGCCAGGCGTACTGCAACTGTTGTGCTCAACCTGAACACAGTTTCTGCGATGAACATGCATGCCTGATACAGGCCACGGTGTTTCTCCGTCTGCGGAGTTTCGACCCACTGACCTTCGGCTGTGCGCACATGCCCCAGCGTCAGTACAGTCCCAGGCCTGAGTCTGTCTGTGTGTGCCTGGGCCTGCGCTTGGGCAAAGCTGGCCTGTGAGCCTGCTGGCGCTATGTGGTCTTCTGCTCCGAAAAACACTGCTAGTTCGTCAGTGAGGTAGGCCAAGGAATGCCTCACATCTTGGAGTCTGCAGGTTATGACCTGGTCGGTGTTGGTTCTGACTCCGACGCGCCCGTGCTCAACCCGGCTCATGTCGGCAATCACTCCAGGTCCTCTCCAGCCTGGGGCATCAGCACCGGCTCACGCCACCAGTCAACGGAATCTCCGAGCTTGAACTCCATTTCTGCCGCAGTGGGGCGCGTCTGCGAATGCAAGGCTCTCTTCATCCTTTCCCTGGCCGTTCCTTCCGCTATCGCCTGGACTGCGATTTCACGAAGACGATGCGTATGACTGGAGTACCGGTCTGGCACCCCATCTGTCACCACCGAGTCCTCGTGAGGTAGGATGGCAGGGACATGCCCCAGCACTGCCGTGTATGGCGACTGGCCGTTCACCGATGACAAGGCGTTTAGTGCAAATGTGGTCTCGTGCATCATGCGCTCAAAAGGAACCGCCAACCCTTCTGCGTTGAGCTGTGTCCCAAGCTTATGCAACGCATCACGAAGCACTGCTATGCGCCTATCTGCGATTCGCGTGTGCTGATTCGGTGCTGATGTGCGCTTGGTGATGCCTCGAAGCTGGAACCAGTGCGTGGACTCATCGTCATCAAGTCCCGTTTCTCCATCGAAGATGAGAATCTGCATTGGTCCGTACAGACTCGTCCAGGCCCTGTCGAGGCCTGTGAGGAGAGTGCTGGTAGTGCGGTCGGAGACGAGTGTGGTAGCCAACCAACGCACTCCGCGATCAACCAGCACCAGGATGATGTACTGCGTTCCTTGGTGGCGATAGAACATCAGGTCACCCTCAACTTCAATATTAAAACCAATGACCATTCGGCAACTTGCTTTTGCATCCGGGCTCGGACGTGCCCATGTGCGACACACCTTACAAGTGTCTGCAATGGCTGGCACCAAATCAAGCACATCCTTACCTAGCCCGCCTGCCTTCAACAAGGACATCATTTTGTCGGTGGAGCAATGCCACCAACGGAGATGGAGCTTTCTCAAGATCCGCCGCTTTCCGCCTCATCTGCATGCCTGAGGCCTCTGAACGATGCCTGCACATCAAAGCTTGTCCAATCCTCACCTGCTGGTGTTTGCGTGTCAGCCTCGGCCCAAGTTCGTCTCACACGCGGCTCACGGTCAGGGCCACGTCCAGGGTGACTTGGTCCATCCTCTGGATCGTGACCTTCGTGCTCGGAAGCTTCGGCGTGTGGACCTGCAATGGCACGCGATGAGGAAGACGGCGGACTCACACGTTCTTCGGCTGCCTGCTCAGACGCTCTCCCCAACCCAGACCCTCGCAGACCAGCAGTGGGCTCAGCTGACGCGGGCACACGACCGAATGGCCGCCTCTGTTTGGCGGGAGTCCGGGCTTTTGTGACGACATGTCTGCAGTCAGGGCCGAATGTGTGTGCCTCGTCAGCCCTGTTCTTTCTGGCCTTGCAGCCGGGGCAGTCAAAAATGAAGGTTTCATCATCTGGGTACTTGCAAACTCCACGCACTCGAGAGTGCAAGGGATCACCCCTGTGCAGCCTCCAGAGACATCCCTTACAGCCACGCCACGCCTCAGAGGATTCGGGCTGCTGTGAGTCTCCTGCTTCATCAGTGCCTGCGGAGACGGAAGGATACACACAGCCTGTCACATAGGCATCACCTGTTGCTCGCTTCTTGCAAGCGTTTCCTGCAAGTGCACCTTCGTGTACAAGCTTGCGTGTCAGAACATTGATGCCGTGAGCTATTTTGCTACACATCTGCACGGGCCAACGTTGGGTCTGGTGTGCTCTCCCTCCTAGCAACTGGGCATGTGCATGGCTGTTGTCACACTGGAGTCCTTCGAATGCTGCGATCAGACACTGATGATTGGCAACCAGCTCTGTTGGCTTCTTGGCCAAAAGGCCCTGAACAGACTGTCCCAGCATGCACTGATGAAAGACTACACGGACACAGTTCGGATGTTGGCGTACCTTCGGCCACGGATCTACCTCATAAAGCTTGGAGGGATACGGCTGTTCGATTAGGAAATACCGCTGCTGCGTGAGCTGCACCTCAGCAACTCGGCCACTGAACGCGGCTAATGGCTCGGCATTACCGACTGACTGTTGCCAGGCTCCGGGGTTGATGATGCGATTCCAGTTGCCAAGTGGTCCATAGGGTGAACAAACCGGGGCCATTACAACCACTAAGGGCTTAGCGACGCTTATGTACCCTAGTACCTTACGTTGGACAACTGGATCTGCGAGATTGACCCCAGTAAGCAACTCAAAGTTGTGACCTGCACGCAGCTTCCGCCGGATGCACAACTGTGATGTCAGTCCCTGGCCGCCAAACAGTTCAACTATCTCGACTCCCCATGAGGTGTACGAGGCACTCGACAGTATGGACTGCATTTCGTCAACATCCACGGCAACGACTGTTTCAGGTGTAAAGGCTGGGACCTGATCACCTGTGCTGCCGCATCTAGTCCATGTCTCAAAGGCATTCAGCTGCCTGTTCACAAGGGCATCAGCAATTTGGCCTGCGTCATCACCTGAGCTGTCTGAGTCGTCCAGCAGATTGCCTGCGACGGGAAAGCTCAGGCTTGACAGGTCTTCACCACAGTCGTCGAAATGCTGCTCTACATGCTTGCGTCTACGCTGTACAGTGGGCTCGATGCCTGCGGCCTTGCTAGCCTTCTGTTTCTGCCTTTGCATTAACTTGGATTCAGTTGGGTAGCAATCGTTAGGGGCTTGCGGCTCGACCTTGCATGGCTCCTGATTGCTAGAACTTGCAGGCGACGCTGGGCTCAGCACGGAATATGTCCGAATAGAATCTGCATCGCAAAAACGGCAAGACCTGCTTGCATCAGGCCACAAGTTGCACAGACAAAGTCTGTCGTGGTGCTTGTGGAAAATGACGTTGCATCAACCGGGTCGGATGGTTTTGGGGACCCCTGACCAGCGTCCAACACTCGGCCAAGGGCGGCAACAATGCTGGCCACCACTGTCTGTTCGGCTTGGGCTCGGATTTTAGCACTGCCGGGAGACTTATCGTCGAGATCAAACACATGCTCAATCTCAGTGGAACAGCGGCAGTCATGGTTGGGCAACCTGATTGTCGAGAGCACCTTGTGTCTCGCCGCACTGGTCGCTGCGCTGATGCGAGCGCCTAGCCGACACCAGGAATGGTGGCTTGTGTAAAATTGACCTCGGTCTACTAATTGCTTAAAACCTGGATGGTTCCATGCTGTACGTCGACTGGCGGCAAGGATGACCGGCACTGCTTGGCGTTCTGCCCAAGTGAAGAGAACTGCAAGTCTGCTACAAATCTGTGACGTGCGCTCCTGCCCCCCGAAGTGGCGTGCGTCGGCTAAGTCCACCCACAGGGCACTGTATTCGTCCTGCTTCAGCCGGGACACTGCGTCGTCGAAGCCTGACCTCAGCAACTCTAAGGGCCTGAACCGCGTCGGTTCCCACCCTTGAGACAGAAACGCTGATGCACTGGAGTGGAACAAGGAAATTAGGAGCACTCTGCGGATCACAGTCATACAACTGGATCTGCGATGCTTAGCGCTGCTTGCACTAGCGCCTGTTGGTCGCGTCTCGGAGGACTTGGAATGCACAGACCAATCTTGGGATGACTTGGATTCTACTTGGGCTGCTTCATGGACTTGTTGGTCTTGCTGCAAAGGCTTGGAATGCACAGGACTGTCTTGGGATGACTGGGATTCTGCGAGGAGTGCTTCTTGGACTTGTCGCACACTGCCTGACGGCATGGCAAATCCCAGGCTTGTCAACTCGCGTGCCTCGGGGGCTGCAAGTCTTGCGTAGCCTCCGGTTGTGTACGCAGCAATTACAACACGGTGGCCTCGTGTCCAGGGCTCCGTTGCATGTCTGGCTTTTGGACAGAACGTTTGAGGAACCCCGACTTGCAGCTTGAACACCTGTCCTGCAACATGAGTGCTTCCATCATGGTGCACAGCTACTTCACCGGTCACTTTATCCCCTGGGCGAAGCTCAACCCACAAGCCTCCGCCGTGTGGCGGTAGCTTGAGGGGCAGGACAATGTTCTTGCCGTGATTGTACTTGTCAATGTGCATGGGCGCCTCACTGTCCTTCAACAGCATGAACGAGGTGTACTCTTCAGCGGGCACTGCGTGCGCAAGCGTTCTGCAAATGAGTTGAGTTAGCCAGGGACGCTCAGCTGTGATTTTGGTTATACCCTGCTTGCCTCCATAGGTGTATGCACCAAAACAGAGGCTCAAACCCTGGGAACCCTCAAACCGCTGACTGCTGGATGTCCCTTCACCCTGATGCAGCTTGCACGCAATGTCCACAACGACCTGCATTGCTTTCACGGGGTCAAAGCAGGCACATGCTTCCTGGCAGATTCGCTCGTGTTCACTACGCTCCCCGGCCGGAGAGACTAAGTGGCATTCTGCAGCATCACTCTCAGAAAACAGGTGGTGTTCTCCAGCAGACGCTGGCCCTCGTGCTGCGCACGGCAACAGCAGGTGACCGCTGACCGCCGCCTCGAGCTGAAAGGTTTCTGAACCTGGGGGAAGGACTAACGTAGGCTCGCCTTGACCAACGAAATGCAACTGTTTCTTGCCGAGATCCAAGATGGCACGGTTGTCCTGGAGAGCCTTCAAGCCAAGGAGAGCCGGACATCCGCTCTGAAGTACGACAGGGCTCGAGAAGGTTCCAGTGGTGATGCTCCCATCTTGGCGTGTCATGGCAATGGGCAGACGGCAATCTTCTCTGCACACCTGCGCGCCCTTGCCAACTCCACCCACTTGGAGAGGCTGAGCGCGTGTGGTCATACTGGGCAGGTGTGGCATTTGCCTGGATGCTTCTTCCAGCCACTGGGCTCCAACAAGGTTGCCATAGCTTCCTGGGTCTACTAGGAGTCCCACTCTGCCATCGGCGAGTCTTACATTGCTGTGGTACGCAGTGGTCTGCACCGCTTCAGGCGGGTCGCAGCAATGCTCTGGAACTGGCCACCACGGGAATGCAGAAGGAATGTCAAGTGACGGATCCTCGGCATCTGGAACACGCGCCTCCGTGGGCACCTCTGGCGCTTCGTCATCGTCTCTCAAACCTTCCCCATCTCTGACAGGCGTGCCTCCACTATCGGGCTCGGCTTGAGCATCTGACTCCTGTGTTGGCGGAGTGTGCATGCCTGACAGAGCTGGATATCTCCATGCTCGAAGCACCTGCGTCGTGGTGCGACAGTTCGGGCACACAATGCGGACCAAGCCCTGAGGGTCTACTTCTATCTCGTTCTGAGCTGCTAACTCACCCACGCACATGGTGTGGAAAACGTGTCCGCATCGCATCCTGCAAACTTCATCCCCAGAGCTGAACTCTTCTAAGCACACCGTGCACGACGACACGAAGCCCTGAAAGGCTGAGCGCCTTGGCTCCTCGGCATCGGTATGCTCAGCTCCCCCAGCCGCTATGGACTGTCTCGCAGCGGCGCGAGAAGCACTTTCCTCAGACCGCAACGCGTGCACCTGGCCAAACATGGAGGTGAGCTGAGTGTAGGGGGGAGCTACTGGGGCTGCCTGGAAAGTTGGCACTTGGGATTGCTGAACATGGTTCCTGCATGCGCCTGCGAAGCCTCTTGATAGGGCGTGTTGTGAGCAATGCCGGAGAACTGCATGAACACTGAGGGCACTGAGTCGCTGCCCCGGTGCGAACGTGATGGATTGCGAGACTGCAGTTGTTGGGCCTGAACCTGTGCGATGTTCTGTTGCATTGTGCTGCCAAGACTGCCGCTCGGTCCTTGCACATCAGCTGTTCGCAACGGCTGATTCAAAACAGGGGGTAGACTGTAGGGTCCAAAGCCTAAACCCAACCTATCACTGAAGGACTGCGAGGGGCCTACGTCACCTATACCCGGAACAACCCATCTATCAGGCCACTCTGAGCCTGCGCGGGCCTGATGCTGTGGCCTCGCTGGCTCGGCATCGTTCAGCCACTGCATCCAGGGGTCGGCAGTCTGGGTCCAGGGATCAGGCGTCAGTTGGTGCATCTCTACAGGGCCTTGCTGCGTGGTCCTGGCGGTTGGCTGAGAGGGCTGAGTTGTCTCAGACCGAACTGCCTCAGTTCTGCTTGAGACACCTGAGCGAGGCGTTACAGGAACCCATGAGCTTTCTGTCTCGAACGCGGCAAAGTGCATCCCAGCGCTCGCTGACTCTACAGTATATGTAGGGGCACTACGTTGGGGTTGTGAGGACTGGGATGAACTACTGGGGCCAGGCGCACCGTCGCTCCTACGAGGGCATCTGGCACGCAGATGGTACGCTGACCCGCAGGTGCTGCAACGCAAAGGCTCACCGTCCCTGCCGCACGGATTCTGCTTCCTACCAAACCCTTTCCCTGAACTATTGCCCCCCTTACCCTTAGACCGGAAATAGGCTGACTGTTGCAAGAGCTCTGGAATGTTGACATAACTACCTCCTCGCTTGCCCTTGCCTTTGCCTTTTCTGCGCAACGTTCGCCTCAGGGCTCGAACAGGCTTCTCAGTGAAGCGTCGCCACCTCTTCTTGGCTTGCTGATATTGACCAAACAAGTACTCATCCGCTTGACTGTTCGTCATGCCTTGCAAGTCGTCCATGGCGATGGGCTCGTCTTGGTCGCTGCTCGTAGCAGAGTCAGTCTCCGAGTAGCCTCCTTCAGTCACAGTTGCCTGAAAGGCCCAATCCGTCTGGCTCAACGACCCCATGCCTCCGGGGTTGCTCCAATCACCACTGCGAGGTTGGTGGAGCCACGGCTCACTTGAGTGGGAAGAACCAGTGTCGGCCTCTGCAAGATACGTCTGACTGAAGTGTGAATGCTGTCGCAGTCCTGACGCAATGTTATTCGGATGGCGGTCCACGATGTGAGCCAATCTTCGCAAATGATGGCACATCTGCTGAAACTCGGGGTCTGACATTGGCAATCGCAATCCGAAAGGCTGCGTCAACGTCTGAAACTGCTCGCTTGTCACTGCGCATGCACGGAGTAGGATCAGCGCAGCTGTTTCGATTGAGATGGCTCCTCCTCCTTCACGGTGGGCCATCTGACGGGTGATGTCAAACCTTGATATCAACGCATCTATGGTCTCACCTTGACGTCTGGAGAAAGATAAAAGGTCTTGCACTGCACGTAGTCTGTTCTCCTCATCTAGCGGCGCGAATCGGGCACTAAGGCCATGAAGCAAGAAACTCACAGGATCAACATGCTGTCCGTGTACTACACCTCCTTGGTATACTTCAGCTGGCGTTAGCGTCCTGGCCAGTTCCCTGGCTGCTCCTCCAAGCTGAGAGATGATGGCCGCTGTCTGCTGCGGCGGCGTGAGGTCGGTGCAAATCGTCCACAGCATCAAGTCCTGCATCCACGTCCTGAACGGAAGGGTGGTCTCCATTGCTGGCTCCCACCTCGGGGGTACGCGCATGTTGGCTTGGGCTCCTCCTCCTCCACCAGGCGGGTGGAACATACATCCAACAATCATAAAACATGCTCCTGCAAAGAGGCCCAACACAATCAGGCGAAGTCTCTGTACGTGTGAAGCAAATGCACCATCAGTCGCTTCTGTAGCCTCGCTACGCAAAGTACGTGACAGCGCGTCGCTCACGGCTTCGGCTGAGATCCGGTTGGGACTTAGCCCGGCTGGTTCAGTGATGGGGAGAGGAGCTCTTAGCTGTCCCTCACCATGACTGAGCACACCCGGGGGCCCGCACAAAAGGGCCATTGCAAGGAACTTTGCTGGATGCATCATCGCCCCTGCTCGTAGCAGAAGCTCCGCTACCAGCTCAAAGATCGAATGAATCTCAGAGGTCAAGCACTTTTAACTCTCTCTCTCGCTAACGAAGTTTGATGGCCTGCCAAGCTGCGGTCCATCGGGCATCTTGCCCCTTCTGACGCATGCATACCGAGTAAACCCTAAACCCTAAACCCTAAACCCTAAACCCTAAACCCTAAACCCTAAACCTTTTTGAGAATCCTCAGAAAGAAGGGGCTGCAATCAGACCATAACAAGGGGACGTGCGACTCTAAACCTACCAAATTACATGCTGTCTTGAGCTCCCAAAGCAAATGGCACTCCAAGAGACCTTGTGAACCCTTAGGTTTAGCGTTTCGGGTTTCGGGTTAGGGAAACTCATTGAACAGGTCCACTGAAACCTGGACTAGCCCTACAAGCCATGGCCAAATCCCCAAAGAAACGGACAGTTACAGGCGGAGGCGAGGAGTTACTGTCTAGCAAACTACATGCAAAGAGCGACGCAGTTCAATAAGCGCCCAGTATCTCGTATTTGAAATAAGCGTAACCCTAAACCCTAAACCCTAAACCCTAAACCCTAAACCCGTAACCCTAAACCCTAAACCCATGAACCCTTCCCAAGGCGCCAATGGCAGCAGTGCAAGGAGCACAAAGTGGCAACGGCCACCCGCGGGATGCGACGTTTTGTTGCCGGTAGCTTCTTCTTACAGGCTTATAGGCTTCTAGGGTTTAGGGTTTAGGGTTTAGGGCCTAAACCCTGGTGGGGCCCCCTAGTGATAAGTAGAGTGATAAGAGCCCTAAATTGGGCTATAAGGATCCTAAATTAGGCTATAAAGTTGAAAGACTCAAAACTCTGATGCCTGAGCTAAGGGAACAAGGCAACAAGAGGGAGAACCACAAAGGGTTGGGGATCAACACAGCCCTCGACCCTACGTACAACCCGCTTTCAGAGCGGCCCTTTTTCATCTTGAGCCAAAAAGGTGACGGCAGGTCGTAGTCCTGGTCTGCACAACATGACTATACAAGGAGGATACCCGTAAATTCACAACTCCCCCCTTCATGTTTGCAGACTCTCAAGTCCTAGAGCTCATTTGAAGCTCGATTCTGGACTTCAGGAAGCAACAGCTACGAGCTCAACTCTGCAGCCAAACCTACTGTCGATTGAAGTACAGGCTTAGCCATGTACAAATTGAATCCAGTATCTCAGGTGATCAGGCTGAAACGCAGACTAGGTAATTCTACCTGCGATCTATACAAAACTACTCTCAACCGGTGCAGGACTGTGCTCAGGCGGAGTCAGAGCGGCGCTTGGGAGCAGCCGTACACTGACACAACGCAGTGCAAGGCTGAGGGCAGGCAAGGAGTGCAGAACGAGATCCTCAAGAACTCATTCAGATGACACAGGGATGATGGCCCATATCCAAGTGTCTGCAAAAGCACGATGATGGATACTGTACAAGACTACTCGTGACTACTCCCAATCAGAAGCACAGCTGTGCTCACGCAGAGTCAGAGTGGCGCTAGGCAGCAGCCAAACACCGACATCACACAGTGCAAGATTGAGGATAGGCAGTGGTTTAGGAACGAGTTCTTCAAGAGCTCATTCGGATGACACAAGGATGAAGAGAGCGGCCGCTGGGCATCCGAGTGTCTGCAAGTTGCACAGTGATGGAAGTATCGCTCAGCTGAACAACCATCGCAACATTATCACCAGAGGCAATTGTAACAAAGCTTTAGGTGATGGCGAACACACTTAGCTGGGAACATCTGGCAGATGTTTAGTAGAAATGCGCAGCAACTTTAGTGCGTGAGCCCATTTCCGGATTGAAAGGGCCTTCGTCAAAGGATTACCTTTCTCAGCTTAGCTGAATATCCTTTCGGATAATGGCGACACAAGCTTCATTATTTGCATGACACAAAAAGCTTGATGCCAAGAATCACGGTTTGCCAAACTTCAAGTAAAGGCAACGCGTCATTGAACAGGGCACTGCTCGAACACAACATACTCTCTTCCGGGAGCGTTGGAGTCGCTGAGTGACTTGAACACATGAATGTGATCAGCTGCGATGACTTCTCCAAATTCCGAGGCTTCCAGCAACGCGGGCGCAGAGTCCTCATCACGAGGCTTGCGACACACTCTTCTGGACAAGAGCTTGGATTGATTGCACACATCACGGAAGAAGCGATGCTTCACACTTACAGCTTCATCTCTCAGTTTGCGAACTCGATCACTGACATGTGCATCATCCACAACGGGGAATCCAGGTGGACTCAAATCTAGAGGCTTGTCCCCTTCAGGAAGTGCAGATGCAGCAGGACCATCAGGGCTTGCTTCGATAAGATGTTCTTTGGGTAACCCCCCTGACGAAGAGGAAGGTATCTCGGACGAATCAACTTCTGCGGGAATGACATCAACCAGCGGAAGATTGTCCAGTAGAAACCCAACTCCTATGAGAGCATCCAAAACATCATGCTCGAGAGAAGCAGGATCTGTTGCCGCACACAAGACCATCGCAAGTCGAACACCAGTCCAAGGCTTCGTGGCACGAAGTCGATCTTTGGCGGAAAACCAGATGACCCCTTTCTTGGACTTCAGTAGACCGACCACACCACCTCGACGGAAGCAACCTACTGCAAAGGACGTGTCATCGCTCGGCTCAATCCCTCGGGATGCGGAAACGCGTTTCATAAGTCCAAAGATCTTACGAACTTGATTGGGCTGAATATCACCACGCTTTGTTAGGAGGTCTTTGGCATACTCTTCAGCTGGATCATGGGCAACGGGACGCGAAGGCTCTTGGCATTCCTCACCCGACTCGTCAAGAGAATCAGCTGACGCAGCAAGACCATGGACAAACTGACATTTGCTGGTGAAGATCGGCACATGCTCATCTGTGCGCTTGGCATAAAGCTTGGCTTCTTCGGCGCAGTCGACCCGAAGCTTAGACAAGTCATGCGCGAAGAATGGAAGGGAACCAGGTAACCATATGAAGGCCTTCCCAGATTCAACATCCAAGCCAGTGCTTCGAACAACTGGGCAGTTGTCCAACATGTAGTGAATGGCGAGAGGCATATTGTCGGACGCAAATCCCAAGCTCTGCGAACCGGGCTGAGGTCCACCGCCTGCGTGGAACGTAACAAGGCTCGCTGAGCGCGCAAGAAACGACCTGTATGACTCCGACGGAATTCCCCGGTCTGCCAACGCCCGCGCCGATCCAAGATGCCGACCAGCAGCTGTGTGCGCAGCCCACCCAACGCTTAAGGCGTTGCTTCCAGGGATGTTGCACACGCTTGAGGCGGCAATCATTGCCACGACTGCCTTCGCAACGGCTCCTGTGGATTTGGGTTTGGGAGCGGCGGCCTTAGGCTTAGACTTAGGGTCAACCTTAGGGGTCTTATCAGGGTCATGACTGTACTTGCAGTCCTCTCCGTGCATGCAACCAGATGCCATCCTGAAGAAAATGCAAGGCGTCTTAGCCTTTTCTGCATCTGACATGCTTTTTGCTTTTGGCTTTGCTCTCGCCTCAGGCTCAGGGGTTGGTGCTGGGGTTGTAGACACTGGAGCCTCTGGCGGAGTCTTGGGCGCTGGAGGACTTCGCGGTGGCTCTTCGGTCTCAGCAGGTACCCCCCTGGCCTTTGCCTGCGGAGCTGCAATCTGCAGGGACTTGATTACCGACTGAGCATTGGTGTCTTCTCGTTCTTGAACGATGACGTCTTGTATCTTGTTCCATAGGTAACTCCACTCACGACGACGGGATTCTGGCGCAGATTCTCTGATGTCATCAATGACACGTTCTAGCTTCCTAATGTGCTTCACACGGTGGAAGAGCCATTCGCCAGTGAGGCGATCATCCGGCCTCTGTCCTATTGGGATTGAATACAGAACAGTCCGAACGCGCTGCACAAAATCCCGGAGATCTCGAATGGAGTTTCCTCCAATTTCGACCTGGAACAACGTTGAAGCAGTCAGCACAGTGCCTCGAACGCGGTCAATGCTGAAATGACGAGCAAGAAGAGCAAGCATGCATCGACCTTTCGGCTGGGACCCTGTCTGGCCACACAACTCAACGTAGGCGATAACTTCTTGCGCCAACTCAGTCACTTGCTTCAACACACGCATGGAAGTCATCTCTCCAGCAATCCAAGCATCAAGGCGAGGAAGAAGACCTGATTCAGTAAGCTCTTCTTTTTCAGCTGTGAAAGACCGAGACAACCATGCAACAACCAAACCTTCGCCTGACATGTCAAGCTTGGCAATCTGGACCAACAACGCGTTTTTCCAGGCTCGGAAACCAGCAGCGTCGGAAGGAACCGGCTCAAGCTTGAGATGTAACAAAGCTCGGCTGTCAACAATATGCTTCTCTTGCCTTTCAGGCTCTTCGATCTCATGAACAGGAGATGCATCATTGCATCCTGGATCCGTGCCATTTCTTTGGGCAAGCAGTTGCTGTACGACATCAATCAACTGATCAACACGAGGATCGGTAACGGGCGCAGGAGGGCAAGGGGCTGACTCATTGACAACTTGCGGCAATGAAGGTGCACCACTACTATCCTCATTAGAACCGTTATGTACCCAACTAAACCCACCAGAGCATGCACTTGACGCAAGTACCGGCGGCTTATCTGGCTGGCGAGGAGCAGACGTTGGAGGCGAAGACCCAGGACTCGTGGCGCTTGCAGCAGCCTGGCGAAGTCTCTGAATCTCGCGGTCTTTGACTTGCAACTCGACACGTAGCTGGGTGTTTTGGAAGTTCAGCAAGTTGTTGTCACCCCGGCAGCTGGTTAGGGCGGCTTCAAGCTCTTGGTACCCTGCACGAGCGACCTGAAGTTCTGCTTCGGCCTTGCTTAGCTCGGCCTTAGCTACAGAGAGCTGTTCTTCCAAGATTCGACCCTGTTGAAGGATCTCATCATAGCCATGTTCGTACTGTTGCAACTGCTCACGCATTTGCTCAACGGTGGATTCAACC